TTCAAAACTGAGTGGACACTTACAAAAATGTAAATACTAATTTCTAGAAATCAAAAACAAGTATTCAAAATATGAAAAAGTTAAATCTCTCAATAAGATGTAATATGAATATTGCATATTTAAGCAATTCATCAAATATACTGTCCAAATTTCCCAAACTGCACATAGTTGCCTGTACAGTAGGGCATCCATCACGAAAATATTTTAGCAGCTGGGTGAAAATTATCATATTATGAAGTTGTTCATAAACCTGATTAGTGAAGTGTATCCTCCCCCTCATCAGAAGCTTGAGCTTCTGGATCAATGCAAGTAGCTGATATTGAAACCCTGGAAGGGTTTTGTTCTTTACTGGTGCTCGCCCTGGTGAAGGGTGGCCGTGCAGGATCCTGCCCCACTTCTCTTTGCCCTAAAGGATGCGGAAAGGGTGCGTGATGCAGGTGCTTCAGCAAACCACCTCGGCAGACCTTGAGGAGTGCTATGTTAGACAAGAAAAGCTAAAAACCTTGGCTCCTTTGGGCCACTCCTGCAAGAGCCTCAAGCTGTAAGGAGCTGAAGACTGCCATGGTGCAAGGTTCATAATTGTAAGTGAAGACTGAGATAATGTGCCCTGGGTCTTGCTAATCATCCTAGAAATTTCATGTGGAGTTTCTCCCAATGGCCATATGTGTAGAATATTTCCATGACTTTGGCATGAAATACAATGTGTTAAGAAAGTGCTGTTCAGAAAATGTCTTCCCATCTACTCCATCAGCAGCCCTTTCTCTACTAGTCCTGGAAACAGCTCTGCTAATAGATTGGCTCCTGATATGGTATCTGCAGTCCTTGAGCAATTATTTTTGCTCATTTTTTTTGGCTCAGAACAAGGACAGCTTTCTGTAAAGTAAGTGCTGGCTCAAGCAATCTCTGCTTTTTCCCTGTGTGTGCTTGCATGTGTGTGCAGTGGGTATGTAATGATGCGCTGTCTCTGTGGCTAGAGCCTGGTCATTTTCTCTTCCAGTCTATGTCAAATCATCAGGCAGAGCTGTATAGTGCCACAAAATAAATCTCCCTCAAAAATCAGTGTATTGGCTATGGACTGAGGCAAGCGCAGGATCCCTCAGTAAACAATACTCAGAATATTCTGCTACTGTGTTAACTTACTTTTTTTTCCCCTTTAAGACAGAACTGTGCGTGGCAGTTTTGGGGGCAGGACCGATCTCACAGGGTCAAATTCAGCATAGTTGGTCCATTCTCATGGCCAGAGGAAAAGCTCTGCGCCGTGAGTCACCCGGGCTCATCTCGGGGTGGGCTGCACTGTCAAGGTTGCCTCGGTTCTCCATGTGCCCCAAGGACTTTGGAAACGTGGCTGCTTCCTGGGTGTGGTTTAATTTGCAAGCCCAGCTTTTGTTTGCAGCAGCATGCAAACGCGCGAGTGTCCTGCACCTCCGGATAATGAGGTGCAAGGAGTGGAGTTAATTTTTAAGGAGAAGCTACATAAGCACGCCACAGTTAAAGTTCTTGATGTAAAGAAAGTCACCAATTCACAAAGGAATTTGATTACCTCTATCCATTATACACACACAGTGAGTGATCGTGCTACTAACCATCTGTCATCTATTTCATTTGCATCATCAACACCTGCCCTGTTTATCTGCTACATTCTTTTCTTCGCTGAATTCTTACACTGCTTTAATAAAATACAGAAATGTTATTGTTAAAAACCAATTAATTTACAATCCTCCATAGAGATAGTATTACTTATAATTCAATTTAGCTTCTAATGACCTGCTTTCTCGCAAAATGACTTAATTCTAGTGTCAAAGATTAGTTATTAGACATTACCCTGCTGTACCAGTCATGTACTGCTGAGACAGGCAAAGCAGCTCTAGGTGTCCCTGGTCATTAATCAGAACTCGAAGACATTTTCCCTTTAACTCATTACAGAACCTGATTTAATCTGCCTCTTTAACTCTTCTGTTTGCAGAATGTTTTGAATATTCCTTTCCTAATTTGGACCTTCAGTGAGAAGGGCAGGGTTGGAAGGCTGAGCGTTTCTGGAAAAACTCATCTTTGCCCACGCAAGGACATTCTCCACACTTTTGCTGACCCTCCAGTGTGGAATTCATTTTACATCTCAACCATTATGTGAATGGGGCATGCAAAGCATTCCTTTCTTTACATCAGTTTTTTGGAAATAAACACAATTGGATTTTCCACACAATTACAGTTCTGGGGGTAGTTTCCCTTCTTATTACGAGAAACAGTATTATAAACATACATCACAGGAGCAAACCTGCTTCCACTCCAGTAGTTTGGCAAAGCAGATACCTCTAGCCACCTCCTTCTTGGGCTTAACAAAAAGATTCAGGAAGCAATGTGGTCAAATCCAGCCAGTTCCAGGAATATCAGCTGGGCCCATGGACATTCAGAAGAGTGTATTTTTTTTGGAGATTGCAAATGTTTATGATATACATGTTGATATTTCATATGCAAAATATTATGTGCAATCCAGAGCAGGGCCAAAGTGTTCTTCCTGACTATATCCATGCAAGCACTGATCTTTGTTTCTCAAATGGTGTAAGACTTTGCTGGATTAATCCTATTTATGGGACATTTGTAGACTACAATACTAAAGTAAGGCTAGATTTGGTGTGGGGAGAACAATATAAGGCATTATTCTATGCCTTAGTCTTTTTGTTTTTGTGGCTTGTAAAAGTAAAACCTGCCATTTAATACAAAATCTTTAGATTATATCAATAACAAAGACCATAGAAGTTGCATATAAACATGGATATAATTCTAGATGGAAACTAGACCTGTTAATTTTTGACAACTTAAGGTTTTGAATAATTACACACAGGATATTTCTGAATATATAAGAAAACTTAAAATTGAAGGATCGTCAAAATCCATTCATAGAGATAGCATGAGTGCTAGAATTCAATGTGGACAAGTTATTCTATTCTAAAATAAGTCTATATGCTGTAGAATATTTCCATTAAAATTCCATTTTTAGCATGTTTAAGTGGTGCAGCTTAGACCAGGTGAAAATTTTAATTTCCCCCAAATGTAATCCTTGCTGTTTTTTGAAACCGCAAGCTACCTAGTGTTATAAAAGGTGAATAATGTCTCATCTGACTTCTTGACAACTGCATGCCATGCTGAAAGAATAAGAGATGCTCATTATTTTCCTAAAGCACGAGAATTGGCTGTACAGTATAGGCTGATGAAACTTCAACAGCTGTCTTCTAAGAAGCTTTTTTTTTTCACAACAGACTATCAAGGGACATGTGAACACTGCACCAGACTAACTCTTAAACAACAGGCATTCTTACAAATGATCAAACTCAGCTACGAGTGCCTAAGAATAACCTCTTTTAGATGGCAGGGGTGGGATGTTGCTGTTCCTGTACTGCAAATACTAAAGCCATACGTAAAATATTTTGCTGGGTGAATGCTCGGTTTATATAGCTTATAATATTTGCAGACAAAATCCACCTGAAACACTGATATCTTACATACCGTGAGGATCAGCTCTCTGGACAACGCGGTAAATCTCTTTGTATGAACAACCTTAACAGCACTGTCTTCCAAACAATATAGACTTATTGCTTCAATTAGACTGATAAATAATTCACATTTCTAAATGGATTCTACAGAGGGTGATGGAGCATTGTGATAGTGTGGGAAACATCCAGCTAGAGCCCAAAATGTCCTCAGACATAATCCTAAAATAATCCTGTTTTCGAATGGTAAAAGTTTGTGCCTCCTGCCCAGGCAGCAGATCATCAGCATCCAGATCAGGAGTTATGCCAAACTAGCTGTAATCTAATATGGAAATGAGATGTTGGCCTTGATATTGTGTCATTCTTCTGAATGGGATCACCTGCACCCATATCTCCTAGGAGGAAATTTCAAACAGAGTTAGCTCCTTAAACCTTCTAATTAAAATGAGAAATCCCCAGGCTTCCATGACTCAGCCTCGGAAAAAGATTATTAGGAATTTAATAGGGAAAATATCGCATCTCAGACCATCTGTGACCCAGTGCTCTGTGAGAATTTAAAGAAAACTGGAGGGAGGAGGTGCACGCTCCAAAGCACACTCTAGGAGTACTTTGTTGGAGCTGCAATAAATCAACATAGTTAGAGTACAGCCTTTTTCAGATTTAATTACTGTTACATAATTATTAGCAAAGCAGCCTCCTCTGAAACTGTAAAACTCATTACATCAAAAATCCCCAAGCTCCTGATGGAATTTATGAACTAGTTACTTTCTTTCTGGCTCTGGGAAAATGTAGTAGAATATATTCAGTTTTGTCTCCAGCAATTTTTAGTGTGCTGACATATTTTATTCATACTGTATTTTGAAGAACACTTCTTACCTGCCTTTTATTTATAAAACGTGGTCTTTTCCATCTCCCCCCTTGCTGAAAGGGAATTTACGTCTCATTTCCTATTGTTACTGTAGTAGCCACTGATTGAGCTAAAGTATGGATTCCCTCATGGAGGGGCCAAAGGACAAAATTTTTCACTGTCTTTTCCCAGCAAATGGACATGGTTAAAACCTGCCAATGAGCTGAACATGTTGCTGCCAGGGAAGTCTGTTTGGAGGATAGATGGAGGGAGCCTGAGGGCAGCCTTTCCATGACCACTGCTGCCCAGCTTGAGACCTTTGGCAGCTGGTTTCTAGTGTTCCTGGAGAATAATGGAAGCTTTATACTGTGCTGTAATGGGCCTGCTGACCCTTCCTCCATGCCATCATCTTTCAATAAGAAGCAGTAAGAGACAGACCCTCAGAGAGCTGAGACCACAAGGGAGGGATGATGGTGGTTCCTTTAGGAGCCCTGGTTCCTTTATTTCATGGCAGATTAGGATGGGCTGACCAAGGAGCAAGGTTCCAGCCTGATCAGCTGATAGCAGTCAGCTGCAGCAAGCCTTGTTACTTCATCCCTCTTCTTGATAACTGGATTATGCCTCTGACTTTGCTCCAGTACAGACTGACTGCTGCTCCCAGGAGGGACTCCTACAGATAAACCTGATGTTGGCTGCTTCTGGATTTAGGAGGATTTTTGGGAAAGCTTCATAGTATTTTCAGAGGTAACCTAGAGGTAATTAGTGCCTTTAGACTACAGTACAAATTTGAAATTCCCTAATCATCTTTACCAACTGAAATTTCTATGATAGTATCATTGCCTTACTGAAGAAGGCTGGCCTGTTTCTTCTGGCACTGTTTAGATGACTTTGTTGCATTGGAAAGCAGCTTCTTTCCTTTTTACTCATTAAAAAAGAGAAAAAAAATGAGAAAAAAAGGGTAAAAAAGGGAAACTTTTGTCATATAATCTGACTTGCTCTTTTGTTGTAAATCTTATCATTGTAATGTTATAGATGTCCAAAATTTCTCAGTTTGATCCAATTTGGTCTATGTGTAGACATAACATTCAATGAGATAACAGTCATTCCAAGTTTTAAATCGTTAGCCTGGAAAACCAGAGAGGTAGAGCTATACTATATAAGGATGTTCAGATACTTTTGCTCTTCATTTAATATAACTTAATTATCTTTACAAATATTGCTCTTGATGAATATTACAGGTTGTAAAATAGCAAGGAATCCATGCAAGACACTAAAATATGTCTTAATTTTGCTCAACATTTTAATGCATTCTGAATCCTGAAGTGCTTAATATAGTTAAATGATATTTTATCTAAAAAGATATTATGGGAGCAAGACAGAGCGTGTTGGAGTTCCTTTTCCAAAAGAAAGGGTATGGCTGAAGGATCAGAATGAGGGCTTTGCATAGCACCAGCTAAGTAAAGTTTCCTGCACTTACATTTCTGGTAGACAATAGAAGAACAAATGGTTTAGAGAGGAAAAGGGAAGGATAGAGACAATTTTGAACTGGGTTTTTAAATGAAGGAGGAACCAGAGTTTAATGAAAATTAAACTGTTTCTGCTCAGCCCTCCCTGCCCTTTTTTCAGGGGAAAAAAAAGTGGTTGCTGAAGGCATTCTGGATCTTGAGGAGATCATGAGGAGAAGAAACTGAAATAGCTAAGGTAAGAAGAATGAATAACATAATTGCTGGTGGGTTAAAAAAAAATATGAGGCTTACAGAGGATGAAGTCAAGAAATATCTTACTCTTGTCTATGTACTGTATAGAAATTGCAGACAGCTCTGTCCACATCTAGGTCAGGGAGAGAGGAAGTAAAAGCATCTCTAAGGGCCCTCTCCTTGACTAAACAAACCTCTCTCTGAAGTGTCTATCTGGAAAACTGTACTGAGCTTATTTTTCTTGGGCGCCTTCTTATGTTGTGAAAGATGGGCTTGTTTTTGGTGAAGGATGTTTATTGGTTTGGGGTGGCCCTGAGCCAGGCCACAAGGCGTGGAGGTGGAGAACACAATTTGGGCAGATATGTGGGCCACTGGCATCAGATTGAGATCACAGACTCTTGAGCAAGTTACCATAGCTTAATGAGTTACAGCAGAGCAGCTGAGCTGTGGTACACACAGGGTAGCACAGGCTAATTTAAACTCTCCTCACGGAGGCTTAGCTGATGCATGGCAGCCATTAAGCCAAGGTAACTCAGACACACATCTGAAATCTGGTTTAAGGCATCTCAGTCCCACTCAGTTCAGGGGGTAGGTTTGCAGGCTTCTGCTCAGGTTGCAGCTTCTTTGGGCAGTCATTTCATCTTGGTTTTCTCAGGCATCCAACAGTAGTAACTGTGATAGTTTGCAGTCATGAAGTTCCTTGAAAAATCAAAGGATTGCTGTAGGAGTAGGATGCTGCTGTTTGTTGCTGTGTAAAAGCATAGAATATTCTGAACTTTGTCTTAAATGTCAAGTTCTTGTCCTTATTAATACCTGAGTAAATCTGCTGAGTTTAAAGGAGTTTTGCTTGTATAAATGAGGACAAGATTTTGCCATAGGGATCTAGCCTTCTGTTGGTGAGCGTGCACAACCTCAGCTGAGATTTATAAAAAAATATTTGATAAGTACTGAGGGTAGAGCAGAAGAATTGGGAAATTCTCTCTCTCTCCAGCTCATACTTCTTGCTTTCTCTTCAGGCATTCTGGAAAAAATCCTGCATTGCTCTCTTCCTGGGGAAAGTAAAGAATTGTCCATTTTTTAATGGTTTGTGTTTTAATCATTTAATACAGAGGGGTTTGGTTTCTCCTCTGTTTGAAGGTGCTCCCCTGTGGAATGGGTTTTATTTTATCTTTGTGTGGTGATCATAACATGTGGCACTCCAGACAGCTATTCTGCTCAGAGCTGAAAAACACCAAGCATTTCTTTTAGTATTACCAATAAACATTTGTGTTATTTTTTCCATAAAGTGGTACTCTAAGCATCGTGCCAGTTTTTCAAGTGACAGATTCTTTTGGAGGCGAAAGAAAAGTATCAGTATTTACTGGCTACCATAAGTATTTCCAAACAATTTAAGAAGCGCAAAGTCCTAAAATATTTATGTATGCACATCAGTTACAGTACTCTGCTACCATTTATTGGGCAGCAGAATGACAAAATACATGTATCAGAGTTATGATTGCCATGATAAGTGCTTAGTGAATCACTCCATAATAAAAAATAAAACTGTGCTAGTATCCTGTACTGTAATTAAATATTTGTGGAAAGATTTATGCTACAGTCACGAAGGTGGTTCAGATGTCAAAATATTTGATGCAGAAAATTAAATGCATGTGCTTTGCTGCAAAAATAATAATCATATTGTTACAACAGTATTCTAAGAAGTTGCAGAGGACAGTAGTTCTTGCATACTTTCAATTGATTTCCTATTTTTGCCTGTCCTATTACCAAGAGACTTCTAGGGAAAAAAAAATACTATGAAAATCATCTGATATCACCCCTGTGTGCACTTACCATAGATGATAATGTGGAACAGGAATCAAAGATCTTGTTCTGGGGGTCCTGCCTTAGAAGCACAAGCAGTCTGTGCCTGGTTATTCATCAGACTAAAGATTTTGAACAGAGCTGTGCTAACCCCCTCAGCTACTGCTTCTGGGCTGGCAGTAGCAGCTGTCTCTTACCATTATGCCCCGAGGAAGCAATGGCATTTGCCAGCAACTCCCTTTGTGTCTAACTCATTTCCTACATTCCCTTCTTTCATTTGCATAGTCAACTGGTCCTTATGCCTCAAGAAAATCGGGAGAGCATCTGAGGAATAAGTTGTTAGAAATGAAGTTTTTAAACATCACACCAGGAGGTGCATGCACAGACCTCATTATATTCCCAACAGGTCTGCTAGCTCATGAGAACGTAACACACCAGAGAGGCTCTCTGTACTAACAGTTGACAGTGGTAAAATAGAGAAAGCAGTTTCTTCCCTCAGATCTCGGGGAAATCACTGTGTAAACTCGGTGCAATGTTTCTGTGCGCCTGCTTTCCTTTGTGACACTCTTCTCGTGGAAACACCTTCACTAATGGCAAAAGTGCTAGAAGGAATAGGACTTAACCTACAATAGGCTGCCTGCTTCTATTGTTCTTTCCTCCATCTGCCTCCCTTCTTTCACAGTAATTTAGCCCCGGATTGTCCCAAAAGCATCAATTAGAAAATAGTCAGAATAACCTGAAATGCTAGATGAGGTAAGAACAGAGCCTTGTTCTGTGGATCTCCTTCACAACCAGGGCATCAGCTTTGTTAACGCTTTGGTCTCGGTTTTTCCCCATCTGTGGTGACCTGGCTGTGCTGGTTTGCTGATGCTGCCGTGGACCATGAGAGACCTGGCATAGCTGTTTTCTGGGAGAAGGGCTGTGTTAACATCAGCCTTCTGTGAACACGCAACAGCTAACGGCACCTTGAAGCCCTCTTTCTATAAATGATGGTTGTTGACATCCTCCTCCTTATTCTTTATGGATAGCCCAGTGAATATTTGACAGACTTGTCCTCCTACTTACGCCTCCTAGGATGGTGTTCATGACTCTTTTAGGGGCCTTAAGTAACAAGAGCCTGTTAATTCACTGCCTTGATGTGTTGTGGCTTCACGACGTGAAAGCATCTTCCTTTTCACTCCAGCTGTGTACCCTCTTGTTCTGAGTTAGTTATTGATGGGGCTGCTCTTGATGTGGCTTCCAGCCTAAGAGAAACTCGGGCACAGCTGAACTGCTCTGAACCAAACCAGCTGTTGACTTATTGAACAAGTGGCAAGAGTTCAGTTGCAAATACTGTTAATGGCAAGGGGGGAGGAGGGGGAAAAAGGTGATTCTGTGCCCATGATTTTGACCTTATTTGTTGTTGACCTGATGTGCACTGCTGTGTCACAGCAGATCCTGTTTGCCTTTTTGAAGCCATAGAGAAAGCGCACTGGGAATCTCCTGCAGCACTGTTAGTAAAGCTGGTTAGAGTACTTTAGGTGGAGTAAAAAAAAAAAAAATTTTTGAAATATCTTACTTTGGTCTTATTAAGACTAATCAGGTGTTTTTTCAGGAGGAGGGGAAGAGGGGAGGAGTAAGAGAGAATGAGTATTGCTGTGACCTGTGTGACCTTGCAGCCTGGTGATTTGGGCTGCCATTCATGGGATGCCAGCGTCATAACTCTGCTCTTACTGGAATAAGCCGTTTGTTACTACTGCTCTGAATCAGATAGTCCACAGACGTAAGTGGATTTATCCACGATAAACACTTCTCAGCAGGCTGCTAGGCAGTGATAACCTGGTGCTGGGGGAATCTGGTGTGGTCTTAATGCTTGAGTAAGGAGACAACTACTTAACATGTGCTGTTGCTCGCCTGGACACAATTAGGCTCTCAAACAATCCAGTTAAACACAAAATGGGCATGCAGTATGCTGCCTGACTCCAGTTAATGTGGTCATGATAATCTCAGTGTATATACAACTTGATGGAGTACTGTCAGGATTTTCCATAGTGTACACAAAAGGCCAAGCTACGTAGCATGCCAAAATTCAGGCTTCAAAACTATTTTTAAATTTTATGCTGAGCATTCAGGTTGCATTGGCTTCCTAAAGAGGTATTGGATGCTCAGTGCTTTTGAAAAATCTGCTTTTGTGGTCAGCATGCTAAACTGGCAATACCAATCTGACCATGAGTGCCTGTTTTTGAAACAATTCCTCTATTTGGACTATTGTACCTATGTAGACACCATCTAGAACAGCTTTTCTGTCAATAAGCACTAGCTGACTTCACATGCCTACAGACCATTCTGCAAATGAGTCTCTGTAGTGACCAGGGATCCTAAAATTGAAGCCATATGGAAACTTACTGTGCATATTAAATTGCATGCAGCAGTGTTAACAGCATTTTGATTTGTGGCTGCAAGTAATAAATGAATTATATTAATTTTGTAGCTGCAAGCTAATTTCTCCAGAATTACTTTTTAATAACCAGCATCATGTTCACTGCTAAGATTTAAATACATTTAGGAGCAAATTTGAGGATTTTTTTTCTTTTTAAAAAAAGTTAGATTATCATCTGAGACTGGGTTTATTTAATAATTCTGCAGACATTTTGGAGTAAAATATCATATAGCAATTGAGTGACCTGGTGTCCAGATTACCTGTATGTGATGTTGTGACTAGGGTAACTTGCACACAAATTGGATAAAATAAGTGAAGAAAAGGTGGTGGGCTCATTGTGTACTGCTGTCTTCACACATATCGGCCTGCAGGAGAGAACAGGCATGTGTAATACTGATCTAAGGTGTGCACATGCAATTCTCTCTCCATGCCAATAATTTGTCCTCTTTAGAGGAGACTTAGCTTCCCAGGCATTGTTTACATGACTTTAACAATACAGGGGATGATAGCAGGTGTACACTTTCAGTCCAGACTTGCTAGAAATGTGTGGACAGTGTTAAATAGCTTCCCTTACATCTAAGTCTCTTAATAATGTATTTAACATATTAGTATCAGATTTTGGTAGTGTCATTTTTGCCCAGAGGAGTGCTCAATTTGAAGGAAGGGTAAATCTCAATACAAGCAGGGGGGGAAAAAAGGAGTATGGGGAATATGACCACAGTATAAGTGAGATATGGTGCTTAGGCAGATTGTGTTGTTAGTCTCTCAGGGAGGCCACTAGGCAC